TTGCGCAACATCCATACTTAATCCAAAATCACATTAATCCGAAGGCAATTGTACTTAAAGAACTTTAAAAAAAACACTTAAAAAAAGTAATTTTCTTCGTTTTGCATTATTCATTTCTTGTGGTTGAAAAAAAAATGATCAATAAATACAATTAAAAAAAGGTTTTTGACAATAAGCTTTCATTTAAAAGGTTAGGTTAGGTTACTTAATTACGGCAAAGCCTCGAGGGCTATCTGCCTAAGGGGACGATGCCTTCGTGGAGGGCTTTCTAAGAGAAACTGGCTCGTATACACGTTACACATGGGGAAAATCACGAAAACACCCACGTAGCCAGCCTATTCTCGGGATTCGAACCTCGGACCGAACTAACAGTGCTCAGCGACTTTACCGCTCGGCCGCTGGCGGGCTGTTTAAAATGGATATGATAATTAATGCACTAGAAGGAAAAAAAATAATTTATCATGTAGTTTAATGGGAATAATAGATTAAATAATTCTATTTACAGAATTCATCTACAATTTTTATCGCGAATTATATAAGCGTAGGGCGCCCATGATAAATTAAAAAAGATAATGGCTTATACATTTGACAATGCAATTATTGGGTTGGTAAGAAAGTAATTTTGGTTTGCATAAATAAAGTTTGCATGCATTTGGTTTGCGTTATGTTCGTTTTGTTATTCAAAGTCAATTTTGTCAATCTTATAATTTTTTTTCTCTTGGCAATTTTGCAGCTGATACTTATAGGTTGCTATAGAAACTAAAATAAGTCCATGCATTTTTGTTAACAACTGTTACCGTACGGTCAGTTTTAACATGTGTGTGTGGGGGGCGGACAAAAACAAAGATTTTTTTAAAATATTTTCCTTTTTAATTTTCATAAAGGCAAGAAATGGGCTGACGCTCACAAAAAGATGTGTGAAGTTTATGGTGCTGATTGCATAACAGAACGCGTATCAGAATTCGTTTAAAAATTTCGTTCTCGCGATTCTTCATTCGTTCTTTCTTTCGTTCACTTAAAGGTGACCAATATTCTGGCGACCTTCTGAAGTTGAGAATGACAAAATTAAAGCCATAATTAAATCGAATCGTCATATAACAGTGCGAGAGATTGCACAAAGGTTGAATGTATCACGCAAAACAGTTAAAAATCACATAAGATGTTTTGGACTCCTTAAAGACGCTAGATATTTGGCTTCCACATGAATTGAAAGAAATTCACTTTACATAACGAATCAATATTTTCGATACACATTTCAAACATAATGTAAACGACCCTTTTTTGAAACAAATTATCACTAGTGATGAAAAATGGATCTTCTACAATAAAATTCATCTAAAAAGATTATGGTCCAAGTCTGACGAGTCAAATCAAATCAAAAGCTAAATTACATCAGAAAAAGATTATGCTCTCAGTTTGGTGGGATTACAAAGGTATTGTGTATTCTGAATTATTTCCAAGCAACTAAACCGTCAACTCAGGTGTTTGCTGCCAACAACTTATGAAATTGCGGGAAGCAATCAAAATGAATTGGCAAATCAAAAAGTATCGTATTCCACCACGATAAGGCAAGACTTCACATATATTTAGCAACATGTACGAAATTATTGGAACTTGGTGGGGAAGTAACGTTACATTTTCCAGATAACCCCAACATTTCACCATCGGATTATCGTTTATTTCGAAGTTTAGAAAACTTCTTAACTGGTAAAAATTTTAGTAACGAAAACCTCAGATCGCATTTGGTTGAATTTTTGCTGATAAAGACCAGAAGTTCTATGAGAACGGAATCATGAATTTAACAGAAAGATGGCAAAAGGTCATCGAAGAGAATGGAAGGTATTTGATTGAGTAAAGTTCATTTTTTGTTTAGAAAAAATGAATTTTATTCCGTGTTAAAAAACTGAAATTGCTTTCTTGCCAACCCGATAAATTAATGGAAAATTTAACAAGACTTGTACATTTGACAATGCAATTAAATTAATATATTTCGTTATTTAGGTGCCCACGCTTTTATTATTCACAATATAACACTGTAGATGAATTATGTAAATATAATTATTTACTCTATTGTTTCCATTAAGTATATGACAAACTATTTTTCTCCTTTTATTTCAAAAATTATCATACCCATATTAAATAAAAGCTCGCTGCATAAAAACCTTTTTGTAATTGCATTTTATTTTCTATTTTTTAGTATCAGTTACACATTATCAATAATGAAGTTTTTAGTCATTATTAAAACGCAAGCAATAAATTATAAGAAATTTATAAAATAAAGAAAAGTAACTGAACAGCATTCTGCGAATGAAGAAATCGCTTTGAATATTCAGTTTTGGAAATTGTATGCAATAACTATGTTGCAATAAGTATTTTATTCAAGCTAAAATGAAAAAAACGAATGTTTCTAATTCGTCATTAAGTGCGCCAAGATGGTAAACTCAAAAAGCTTTTTAATTCTGTCTGCTTCAGACTACAAGATTATTTTTTTTAATGTACAAATTAGCTCAATTAATTTTCTAGTATCATTCTTGTTTTGAAAGTAGGCGAAAAGTTTCTTTATAATCTGTGAAGATTACAAAATTTTATATCCGTTACACTTTTAGATGTTGAACCTTTAAAATCATAAACTTCAAATAGTCAAAAAAATAGAGCGATTTTCAAAAATTCGTCCAAAATTCAGAACTTAAGTTACAATTTTCATACGAGTTTAATCTAAAACATCTTTTTTCTGTTATATTCAATGGTGTAAACATTAAAATTTTAATATGCTTAGTTAGTTAGTTTAACAAAGATATGTGTGGAAAACCGTTTAAACATTAAATTAAAAAAAAATCTAAATCGGATTTTGTCAAAATTGCCTCAACTCATTGTCATCGAGATACAGTATATATACAAAATTAGGACCCCATAGCTTATCAGGAAGTAAGTTAAGAATCATGACAAAATTCCACCCGCAGTAAAACACCACGAAAGAACTAAATAAACGCTTACAAAGAAAGTAAATAAATAAAAATAAATAAATAAAAAAAATATGAAAGGTTTCAGATTTTAAATTACGTCCAAAAGGGCGTTTTTTTAACGTTTTGTGTGTTACCTTTATTTATTAAATATCATGTTCTTTGCACTTAACTTAACATAAAATTCAGTTCAGTAGCAATGTCGAAAATAATTTTAAAATGAGCATATCTTTAGAATTTCCGATACACAGTTCCGCGCCTGCTAGAGATAAAAAGGTTTTTTTTTTTCCTCGCCGTAGAGTGTTGCCATTGCTCGCTTTTAAATCGTTGAGTTTGTCACTCAAAAATTCATTAAAGTTTTAGAAATATGAAATCGATAATAAAACAAATTCCAAATTTCAAATTTGGTCTTTCATATGCCCATATTCGTAGAAGGATTACGTCATTCAACATTCAATGGCTTTACTTACCGTTGTTTTATCGCAATGTGAGAAATAGAAATACATTTATGCATATTTTTCATTATTTAATTTCTTCAAATATAATGCAGGACTCTAACATTTGGTAGCAACAGTTTGAAAAGTGTAAACGGACATTTATAGTGATTCGACGCAAAATCGCAAAACAAAAGCAATAGTCCTTCAGGGACAAAGCCCCTTTGGACTAAAAATCACAATTTGCATAAAAAACCAGAGTTAAATACAGTCAACTCCCATTTTACTGGACAAAATGGCTTTTTCAAAATCCCGGTTAACAGAGCAGCAATAAAAAATACAGGAAGAAAAAATAATCCACATTACAATTAACAGAAAAATTAACAACTCACATGTATCTTCTGCTAGTTTAATCTGGAGAATAGTTAGGTTACCTAAATTAATCCAGTATTCAAAATAAAACAGCATAAAGTTAAAAACGGATGAATAAACTTCATTATAAATGAAGAAAATATTTACCAGAGACCCTTGAACAACATCCTAGAATTTAGATTCTGTTTTCGAATTCCGGTGGTGTTTGATTTATTTTTTATGACTGGGCAATTTACGTTTTTCACGTTTATCAGATTATTTAACAGTATTTATATATTCCGGATTATGTAAAGTTAAATTACGTACTATTGGTAAATAAAAACAGTTTCCAAACACCATCGTATTCTACTAATGCTGTTAGTCACCCTTTTTATCTTCCTTTTTGTATTTTCCGTAGACAGTTTTGTTTAACGTTGTTGGTTTATTGCAGTAATTTTTCCATCGTTCCACAATAAACAAAGATGATTTTTCTTTCTTTTCTTTCCTTATTCTCTTGATAGGTTCCGTTTAATCTGAATCCGTTTAACTGAAAATAGATTGAATACTAATGCAAAATTCTTTAAACCAACTGGGAAGCATCGATTTAATTTGCATTTTTTAATAAGGGAGTATTTTTGAGGTGTTAAAAATGCTATCTTTATAAGCTTATTCCAACTGAAAAAAAATTTTATACGCATCTCTGGATTTCTTGTTCTTACAATAATTTTTAGAAAAAAGAATATTTTAACGTTTTTCATGGTTTGAAATTAATTTTGGGCCCAAAACAGCAGACCTTTTAGGAATATTTTGTATTTTCACTAGTGTAGCCAAATTCGGTGACATAATTTTCGGATTTAAAGAGCAGAAATTGTCAGAGCTATAGCGCAAAAAAATTTCAGAAATTCTTCAGGAGCAAAAAATTTTTGCAAAAGTATTTTGCTCCTGAAGAAGAGAGAACTGTACCTGATTTTTCTCGAAATCAACAGTTTTATTTAAAATGTATGTAAGCCTGAGGTTGCTGCTTTTTTACCTTGACTGTATCTTACAGTATTTAATTCCGGGATATTCACGTAAGGACGGCAATAGATAATGCTCCTTTGAGGTATTTTTCCTATCTCAGCAAGGTATCGTTCTAACCAATTAAATGTTGCCGAGGCTGCGGCTTACGTAATGCATTCGGGACAAGGTTATACATTTCATCGAAAACCGGTCCCTTTTGAGCGTTTCTCCATATCGCTGTTGATAGTGAGAGAGGATAGATGACAAACACCGAAAAAGCTTGCTTTGGATTAGCGTGCTTTTGGACTCCTGATGCACGGTTCGGATGCTGCCGCGGTGTCTTTCGTACCCGGGTCGGATACTGTGGAGGTACTGGACCTGCACCGAATTATCCTAGTGTGTGAGTATACTTTTGCTGTCATTACACTTGTGGTTAACTTATGGATATGGCCTAGCACACAAAAGTTATTTGCTTAAAGTGAGAAGTCTTCGTGGAGGAATTCCTACTGCAAACTGGTGAGTATTCACGTTACAGATTCACGTTCGTTCACAAAAGAACGAAAACCATCATGTAGTCAGCCCATTCGCTTGGATTAGAATCTGAGTCGAACTACCAGCATTCAGCAATTTTGACCATTCGACAACATATTACGTAAGTAATTTGTTTTAAATACCTGTAAATCTTTTTCTGAGGACAGATATAGGCAACACAGTCTGTCGTTTAGGGCTGACTATACTTCACAAACAATAACAAAACAAAGATAGAAAGTAAACTCTTGTTTAGAAGGGGCAGTTGAAATCTGCAGTTAACTCAACACTATGGTTATTTCGAGGGTAGTTTAAGATATCCCAATCAATACAAAAAGTCTATTAACAACCGTCTTGCATTTTCAAGCAGTTTAATCCAGACGGTAAGTTCATTTGTTTACGTAAATTAAATCAGTATTTTTTTTTAAAGCGCGGTGAATAACAGAAGAATAAACACCATTATAAAGGAAGTTATATGTGACATTAACGAATAAAATGCGCAATAGAATTCAACAATGTTATTGAGTTCAAGCTCCTGTGAAAAAGTTAATTACAGTGTTTCATTTTTTGGCAGCGTTAATCTGACAGGGTCGTCTGCTACCACTGCTGTTATTATCAAGGAGGTTAGAATAGACATCCTTGGTTATTATACTAATTTTTCTGCTCCATTTTGGTATTTTCTGAGATAGTGTACTTCTACAATGGTTCGCGATAGTAATTTCTCTGCCATTCCCTTATAAGCAAACTAAACATTTTTCAGAAAGCACCTGCTTAATCTGCAACCTGTTTAAACTTCCCTGATTAGTTTGGAATTGATAATAATATTTTTTTCAATTATTAGTATCTTTATGTAGCATCAACTATGTTATGTTTCGAATATGCTGGATCCGAAGCTGATTCTTGGGAACCATTTATGCTAGCAAAGTCAAAAATTACTTCTGGAATTTTTACACGAAATATTTAGACAGCAGTCATTGCTGAAATTCCAAACGTCATTTTCCTCTTATTTAGAAAAGGTAGAGGGAAAATGTTTTAAATTATTCAAGAAGTCAAGGAAACAAGGAAAAAAAAAAAAAAAAAAAAAAAAAAAAAAAAAAAAAAAAAAAAAAAAAAAAAAAAACATAAAATTTAATAAAAAAAATCTGAAAACTTTCAAATATTCATATTACGTCCAAGGGAGCGTTTTTTAACGATTTGTGTGTTATATTTATTTGTTAAATACCACGTTCTTCGCACTTAAACTATAAAATTCAATTCAACGGCAATATCGCAAAATATTTAAAAGAGCATATCTTTAAAATTTCCGATATACAGTCTTGCGCGCTGGAGATAACTTCCCTCCCCCTTCGTAGGGTGCTGCCATTGCTCACTTTGAAATCTTTGTTGAGTTTCTTAATCAAAAACTCATAAATGCATTACAAAATATGAAATAGAATAATAAAACAAATTAAAATTCAAAATTCGTTCTTCCAAGTACTAATATTCGGGCTTCCAGATACGTTTTCCCAATCTGATGGCTCTAAATACCGTTGTTTTATAACAATGCGAGAAACATACATACATTTATGCAGATTCTTCATTATTTAATTTCTTTGAATACAATACATGGCTCTAATATTTGGTGGCAACAATTTAAAAAGTGATTCGCCGTTTACAGTTAATCAACGCAAAATGCCAAAACGAAATTAATAGCACTTTTAGACAAATTTCGCCTTTGAGCTAATAATTCCATGCAGGAAAGAATATGAAGTCACTAAAACTACAGCTACCTTTTAGTAAAGTATTATCAATAGTAAAAAAGATACTGAAAGTTATTTTTCCCTTTTTCTCAGAATGCATACTTTTGTGATATCTCTTTCTCTGCCTGAAATATCATAACTTAAAAAGCTAAACTAAAGAATACTATATTTAACATATATATATAAATGAAATAAACTACATTCGTAGAAAGACGCTAATTAATTTTTAATTTACATGCATTCGACTCCCGATTAAAAGAGGGCAGATTAATCTGGTTGCGGATTTTTGCGCTATTAAAAAAAAATTAAATGCATATAATGTGTTCATTTCCGAAAACAGTTGTAAAGATATTAGGTATTTTGGAAGCAGGAGTGATGGAAAATGAGCAACGCCCTCTCCAGGAAGAACCACGGACATTTGGAATACGCGCCCAGCTTGCTGACCACTACACTACGAAGGCGGGAGAAATATCTTATATACTCCCCCCTTTTAAAGGGCGACTGGGGTTTTTAGGGGACCCAATCGCCAAATCCTGGGTGTAGATAATCATCACCCACCACCCTTTTAGTTCGGGCGCCACTGTAGAGACATTTGGTTATTTCGAAGGCGGACAGATGAAAAATGAGCAATGCCCTCACCGGGAATCGAACCATGGACCTCTGGAATGCGCACCCAGTGTGCTGACTACTACACTACGAAGACATGCTAAGAAGGCGGAAGGAATACCTTGAACAGTCATTAAGTTTGTTTCGGAGCAAAAAACATGAGCAGTGCCATCACCGGGTTCGAATTCCTGGCCGGACGTACTTCTAATTACACCACGAACGCAAGCGGTAAGGAGGGAAAAAATACCTTACATCTTTTGTCACTTAAAAGGCTACAGGGTAGCAAGGGACCCAATCAAAACCCTAGTGACGGCGAGTTATCGTGCATCAAATTTTTAATTTGGGCGTTACTTGTAGAACCATGTAGAAATCTTTCGAATGCAGGAAACAAGAGAAATCAACGGTGCCCTCGTCGGAATTTCGAACTGTGGACCTCCATTCCTAGCCGGACGCTGTTCTTCGTTGTGCACTTCCAGTTAAAGAACAAAGGGGGGAGGAGGAAGGAAATGAACGGTGCAAAAATTGCTGTGATAAATAAATAAATAAATAAATAAATAAAAGTTTTCCCTCGAATTTGAATTCAGTGACTTGTAAATATTCTTAAAAATATTGCTGTTTGATATTATTGTTAGAATAAATTAGAGTCACTTTTGCATAATGAAACTCGTCAGCGCCAAAAACAAACGGGAGCCAAACGATACACATTGCCGAGAAAGGATTCTACCTATGTTTTGATGCAGAAGCGTTAAAGAGATTCTGTACTTGCATTAATCAAATCATCTTTCCGTAAACAGTGATAATTTAAAAGCAACATATACATTTGTAAATTCAATCTACCTATTCCTGACAGCTATTATCACATAACTCTTTATTTGATATATTATTTTTGTTCATATTCTATACCAGGGGTGGCCAAGCTCCTTAATAATCCGAGCCATTTTTCAAAATTTGAAATTTTTCGCGAGCCGCAATTAAATACGTATTTAAAACGTATGCAAAAAAGTTATTAAAAACATTTTTTTACAGAATCTGTATTTATTAAAATCATATAAATAAAAGTGCAAAATATGTGCATTGAATTTAAATATTAAAAATTAAACGCATTTATTTTACTTTTCTTGATAATTTTTTTAAATTTGGTGAATAATTGGTGACAGCACTTCTCAGTAATTCTTTGAGATGCTGGTTAGTTAATACTGATCGGTGTTTGGATTTCACGAATTTTAAAATGGAATAAAAGGATTCACATAAGTGCGTTGTTTCGAATATTGAAATAATTCGACAAGCAGCCTTTTTTAATTCAGGATACTTCGAATCTGGTACAAATTTCCAAAATTCAGTCATCGGCGTCGATTTATATTTTAATTGTAGAGCTTGATCTTCTTGCATCTCTATTAATTCTAATTCTCCAGATGCTTTTTGGGTCATAATTATATTGGAAAGGGAAAACTCACCTTGAATTTTGTTAATTTCAAATGGATTCAGAAAAAAAATCAATACAGCAACATATACTGTGGTTTTCTGTCCTCTACTTGCATAGTACTTGCGCTTCATTCTTTTTCAGCCATGTTACATTCATTTTTGGGATATACTCGTGATAATATTGTCTAATAGGTAAGCTTCAAAATATTTAAAAACTTAGAAATGAGACTCTTGCAATTTCTTTTTTCATCACTTTAAGTGTTTGTGAAGATTGTTAATTTTGACTTGTGGTTGAGTTAAGGCAAACTCTCTAACTTGTTAAATAAAGATTTCATAGTTATTCTAACTTATAATTATTTTATAAATCTGTGCTGAATAGAGGATAGTGTACTTAAACGCCTTAGTTGTGTTAAATGCACAACATATCAGTTATAACTTACTTTTTTATTCTAAATTATGTTTCTTCTTCCGTTATTGGTAATGTTTTCCTTTGTTCCGAATGCTTATTTAACTGACATGATCAAATGAACTACTTCTCCAAATTAAGCTGGTGCATGAAGATAAATTGTTAATGTTATTCTTCTATTAATTATATATATATATATCATAATTAATAGAAGAATTTATATATATATATATATATTATTACGTGCTCCGCCATTAGGTACTGCACAGAAACGGGGGATTAGAGTATTTTTTATGGGACACTGGCTTGTATCCACTTTTCCCATGAGGAAAACCAGTAAAACGCCAGTGTAGCCAGCCCCTTCATCGGGAGTTGAACGCTGGACCGAACTACCAGTATTTAGCGACTTTTTCCGCTCGGCCGCTGGTAGGCTAATTAATTATGATACTGGGCTAGAAATTTTTCTTGCGTTTTTCTAGTCGCCCTCTGATTAAGCATGATCTTGAAGCAATCGTGAACTTCCTTCCCAGTCTTCCGGTTAATTGAAAGTTGAAAATAGGTATAATTCAGGTTTCATGTCAAATTTATAAGATTTTTTTATATAATTGTATTTTGCGTAATATAGCTTCTAACATAATAATATCTTAATAATAGAAATTACAAGTTCCTTGCAGAAAGTCATTATAATTACTATCATATTTATAAGATGTTAATACGAGTACATTGATTTGTTTTTGAATTACTACGTTTTGCATGTAAATAAATTTTATGATATTTTCCCCTTATGTTTCATGCTAAATAATAATATTAATGATAAGATTTAATCTTTTAAATGTTCTGCTTAATTATAAAGTGCAATCTGTAGATAAAAATTCTGATAATTAAAAAAAAAATCATCTCAGAATAGTAACCGTAAGAGTAACCGTAAGAACCTCTGAACGTACTGAAAATATCGTCCGCGTGCATAGGATAAATGTCAGTTGAATCAATAACTTCTCAAAGGAGTTTTATCGGATGATTGTGAGCTCTGTAATCTTCCTTTCGAATGACTTCTGCCTTTTTCTGAAACCGGTATTAAGAATACATTAGGTAATCAGTTTCCGAAATTTTAGCCGCTCTCAATCCAGGTCGTTTCTGTGGTAGAAAGTAAGTCAGTTTAAATAACGCATATTCTTTACAAAATGGTGTGAAGAAGTAGACACATATGATAGCATGTTTACGGATTTTCCGCATCAGAAATTTCAGTAATTTGTTAGCGTTGGGAGGTTTTCTAAAATTTCGTACTGTCAGATTTTACCATAATTTCAGGTTTTTTCGTATTATTTTATAACTTCTACCACAATAGTTTATTTATTTTTTTATTTAGTCTATTTACCGTTAGAATGTCGGCAAAAATATATTGCAAAGTATAATCTACGAGTAGTTCTAAATTTTAAACTAAAACTTTGAATTCCCTCATATTTTGCTGCACTTCAGGAATACTTCTAGAAATCTGTATGTGTATGGTTATAATGTATAAGAAAACCGTTGAGTTGAATGATAAACTTGATCTAAAAAAAGCAATTTTTAATTACGTTTCCAGAATTTGATTAGTTAGAATTCCAATTAAAAATATGCAAAATAATGTTCATTCAGTACTAATTACTCGTGTTATTGCTTCGCTTGTGATACACCCCCCCCACCCTCCCGAAAATGTAAATCCGCGGAATTTTACAATAAATCTCAGGCCGCAGTCGCTGAACGGGCTGCTGCGTGGGTGTTTTTGTGGATTTCTTACGTGTGCAGCTTGGATATGAACCAGTTTTCATTAGAAAGTTCTCCCCGAAGGCATCTTTCCCCTTAAGCAGATAAGTATCGCTTGCTTGGAAATAATTTACCAAACTAACCTAAATTCGAAGTTGCGAAAATTTAAGGAATTTCACCTACTCTCCCAAAGACAGCCCTGTGAATTTTGTTTTGCCTCGCTGTTAAATTATTATCCTAGTTATCACTACTGCTCTGAATTTGTAAAATATAACAACTTTACTAATATTAAAAAAGTTTGGAGGATTAGATAAATGTTCTTATGCGCGTAATATATATTTTCAGGCATATAAATTAGCATGGTATAAATCTAGTTTCATTCAATTTATTCTACTTACCTTTTCAAGTATTAAAACTAAATGGGTAATTTTATCTCGAGAAGGAAGAAGATAATGTTCCTAAACATGTAATGGGGTAAATAGTAAAAAGTAGGGAAACTTTCGAGGCTAGGATTTACGCTTACAATTCCGCAATAAATGTCGTGATTTACATTAAAATAATAATTAGCAATCATTGTATTATTTCGCGATCTACATTAATATATTCGTGACTTACATTAATATTCTAAGGGAGTGTAACATCTAAAGGGAAGCAAGTAGAACCACCACCCAGGGTGCTAAACAGAGAGGTGTGCCGCAGGGAAAAATGAAGACATTTTGGGAACACCAGAAAGCATCTTCTGTAAAATATTCTGCCAGTTTTGGCTTCCGTCGAAAATATTTCCGTGCAGGAGGTCAAATACAATAAGGGAGACTCTGCTGAGGGGGATACTAGATATGAAGCAATAGCACAAAATAACTGCTATATAACTGAATAAATAATATATTATATTTTTTTAATTGAAATTTTTATTTATAAACCAAACAGCTTCCGAAAACATGTTCAAAGGTGCTATTTTAGATCAAGGTTACTATTTTGTATTCATTATACTGCACAAAAACAAATTTTTTCATGAAGTAGGACGTTTTTAAGATTAAGAAAAAGTATCATTCGGCATCGAAACTTTTTATTGGTAAAATAATTAACGGAGGCTACTATATAATGCTATTTCCGCAAACGATCTAGCCCCTCCCCTGTGGTGAGAGCTTTCTGAGAGTTGCAATTTTTCCCTAAGCGCTTTATTGTTTCCATTCAAGGTTATTACAAAATAGCAATATCTATTATCTGTACTCATATTATTCATGAAAGCTTCTTTCAATGGCAGCAGTTATGTTAATCAGCAAAGTAACATGACGCGCCATTCAGTGTTATTTACCTCTTGCTTAAAACAAGCTATATATATTAATATGACCTTGATAGCAAGTGAGAAACTCTTATTTCATTTCCAGTTTCTAGCATATAGATAGCAGCGGCGCCTTCTGTTTTATACTAGTCATTAATTTTTGTTTTCAAATTATCCTCACTTCAGTAAAATTTTGTTGCGTTAGAATTGCGGTTAGGCCCCTTAGGCTCAACTTTTCCTTAACTTTTTTATTGAATAAGAAGAGAGTAGTCTTAAGAACCATCTAAAGAAATCTTGGGTTTTAAAGTTAAGATCTTTTTTATTTGTGGGAATGCAGACCACGATGTTCTCATAATACAGGGTTGTCCAAAAGTCTGTGAAACGTTTGAAGAAGTTAGAACTAATAAGCGATGTAACGGACAATCAAATTTTACGCAATAAAATAAAAATACTTTTATGAAGTTTTTTTTTTTTTTTTCTTTTTCTTATATTTGTTTAACAAACGTTGAATTGTATCTTCCTTTGTTGACACGGTAGATATTTGTCATTGCTGGCACACTGATAAACGGGCTGATGCCACAGTTGAATGAAAATGGTGATGATTATTTAAAAAAAAAAAAAAAGTTATCCGGTTCACTATCACAAAGAGCATTACCATATCTCTATCAAAATTAACCAGCGACCAAGTGCAAGAAGAATATCGGGATCAAAATCTGTGGTAGAGACCAATTATAATTATATCTCAATCAAAATTTGCCTCTAATGTGAAAAGCAGGAGAAAATAACAGGTTAATGAAGTGGCCACACTAGTCCTCAGATTTAATCCCATGTGAACTTTTGGAGGGAAGGCAAGATATTTTCTTTATAGCTCATTCTCCCTTAATCTTCATAGTCTCCGCAACCGTATCGCTGATGTCGATTGCGACATATTGCCAAAACAAAACGGTACCTGAACATAGGGAACTAAACAGTTTACCTGAAAGAAATCTTATAGATATCCACCGTATCAGCAAAGATCAACACACATAATATTTGTGAACTGTGGAGTAAAAATAGAAACTTTGTGTTTGTTTCAGTACAATAAAAATTTGACATCAGTTGCGCAATTTTTTTGAACTTCGATCTTACGAAATGCATTGCATATTATTGGTTGCTGGACTGTGTTTGATACACTCACAAAATTTTCCAGCTTTTATAAATCGAATATGTTATAATACTATTTGAAATTATATTTCTTTTACAGGAATGATCACACAGAAGCCATTGAAGTGGAATATGATAGTTCTGCAATTTCCTTCGAAGATCTCCTTCAACTTTTCTGGATATTTCATGATCCATGCAGCTGCCAGAAACGCCAGTATATGTCAGCAATATTTTATTTAAATGATCAACAAAAGATATTTGCGGAAAAAAGCAAAGCACTGAAAGAAAAAGAGCTTGGGAAACCAGTTGCAACTCAAATTCTTCCTTTAAATATATTTCACGAAGCTGAAGAGTAAGTTTAGTTAATACATATCAACCGAACTTTTAAACACAGCAGTACTTAGATATAAATGTAGAAGTGAGATGAATGTTACATTTTCTTAAAACCGAATCCTAATATCTCGAATTTTTCATTTGATAATAAAAGGAAAAATATTTTACTTAATTTTAAACATTTATAATTTTACAAAGTTTTAAATCTGAGTTTACTGAAAAACATATTTAACAGCACAGTTTTTTTAATGAATATTTTTATTCGACGTCAGGACAGACCTGGTAAAACATGATCTTTTCAAAGTTTTGAATGAAACATCTAACGATTTTTTTAAATTCATAAACCTTGAATAATGGAAAGGGCTCAAAATTTTCTTATTTCCTAACTTTTTCAAGATTCAGGGTTTCAAGATTTATAGCTTTCCGGTTATCGTAATATTCGTAATATAGATAACACTGATTCATCTTTGAGACCGTTATATATTACTCTTTAGAGAAGTCTCTAATTTGCATCCAATTATGCATCATAGTGATTTTATTATCCACAACGTATAACTTATTTTTCAGTGGCCTTGATATGTTTGTCCATGTAGCTGATGGTTGTAGTATAATATATCTAATTATTGAAGAGACACAAAACGTTATTTATTTATTTATTTATTTACTGCTTGTTTTAATCGCCGCCCAGCCTGTATAAAGTTTAGTGACCCTGACTGACCTACCGATAGGTCCAGCTTCGAGCCCCGGAAAAGGCATGGATGTTCGTGAGCGTATAGTGATTGAGCAGCAAGGGGGCACTCAAAGTAGACGGCGAGCTGAAATTTCTCTCGAGAAGTTATTGGAAGGAGAAAGAAGGATGGGAAAACACTTGTACAGCCTACTGGCTGTTCTCCCTCAAAACTGGGGCAGAGCTGCACAGTTATAGCGATAGGTTGGAGACCAATGGACAGTCCCCGGGTTGTTCTCTCTTAAAAAGGGAGGGCGGAAACTTTACAGTTCATTAATACCTCAATAACTTGTGGTACTACACAGATGCTGGCCTAGCTTTTATCTGTGCCTACTTGCTTCAACCGAGAGCAGTCCAGATGGGATAGTGGTAAGTGATGCTAACTGCCGTACCGTAGAGCCCACTTTCGAATCCCTCAGAAGACATGGAAGTTTGTAAACGTATAGTATTCGTGTGGTAAGGGTGCACTCTAAACACACAGAGAACCGAAATCCTCTTGAGAGGTTAGTGGCAGGTAAAGAGGAGTGTGAGACACTTAGACACCGCCACTCCTGAAGTGTTCTGAAAATGTAAATTGCGGCGGAAGGTTAAAAATTAGCTAGGTACCGCAATATCTTATTTACTCATTTTATATCTATCCTACTCAATCTTACAGAGGTGCTGGCCTAGCTTCTACCTGTATCTGTTTCAGTCAAGATCCTGTGTAGTCTGAAATGGTGGTCTGGAATTGGAAATAATGCAGTGTCAACGAAAAAAAAAGTTGGGAACCTCCGCTTTAAAAGTTATGCCATACAATATTATTTCAATAACGAATCTGGAAAATATTTGTGCAAGGTTAATTTTGGAAAGAATATTATTTAAAACCAGCAAATAGATTCCAACATTCTTTTTACAAGCCGGAGTAAGTACAAGCACAGCTGGATTAACGATTAAGCAAAATATGCACCTGCTTAAGATCGTTATTGTGCATGTGTCGTTGCCGTAATAGAAATTTTTTAGAAGTCACATTTACAGTTGAAAGTTAGAATTATTTGCTATCAGAGAATGCTCTCTTTGAAGTTGCTAATGGCAATTTACAGATAGATAGCACCAGTTCGATGCTCATTACCGCACTATTAGTGCTGAATCTCAAGTTCGAGTCTTGTATGGCCATGTCCTGATGCTTAAACTACTAAACGCACTTCCAGCTCAATCGTTGAGAAAATCATCTCTTTTGCACCAGGCGAAGTAACTGTATACTAATGACTAAATGGGGATGCAGAAGAAAATATTTTACATGGGCAGAACATCAGGTTTTTCAAGACTATTTACATTATTCTAAATTTGAAAAATTTGTGCTTGCCTCTTTATTCGAACTGCGGATCTTCTAGTTGCCACCTCGATGTGCAATTACACCACGGAAGGCGCACAGGTGATCCGCTAATTCTTTGCATTTTTTCCCACTTAAAGTGCGACTTGAGGAGAGGTGCATCTCTTATTTGACTAAGTCCAAATGACGATGCGTTATTGAGCACCGCAATTTTAGTTCGGGCACTAGCATAAAGAACAGTAGGTTTCTGTGACAACAGGAAATATGAAAAGAATTTGCCGTCTCTGGAGTTCGAATTTTAATTCTTCCGGTTACCAGCTAAACGTATTATCCACTTACACACTTACTTAACGAAAGTAGATAGCGATAAACGAAAGTAGATAACAAAACGAAAACAAAACGAAAGTAACAAAAACAAAACAAACCATAACAAAACGAAAGTAGATAGCGATATTTCCTTATTTATAAAACCAATCATTTCGTATTTCACTGTATTTCTAAAGATATAGATAATAATCAGGAAATCCTTTAAACTTTTCTTGTTAAAAGAAACTTAAAAAAAGTTTAAAATGCATTTTTTCTTTTGCAGCTATCACCAGAAATATTTTCTTCGTACTTACCATAGAACATTTTATAACAGCCTTCCTCTTGAAAATCCAGTAACATCAACAAGAGATGCACGACTTAATGGATATCTCTGCGGATATGGAAATCACCAGGTAATTTAAAATTCATTTTAATTGCTTATTTTTGTTAGGCTGAGATCAGACGAGGACGTTAGTGTTTTATCACCCAGTCGAAAGATGTTGCCTTTCGACTTAACTCTCAGTGAACGCAATGGATTCCCGATTATCCGGGGTAATATCTATGTTTATGTAATATATATGTTTCAAAATCAGGATTAAACCAACAGCAAATTTAAGCGGAGAGGGAAAAAAAACATATCGTAATCGACAACAAAAAGACCATTTAACAGTTTAGCGGAATTTTTAAATTTAATTTGGATAATAGATTCGTTAGGTTAAGTAAAATAAAGGAGCATTGAAAGCAAGAACAATACACTTGAAAAAAAAAAGTACTTATTTATCTTACTCTTTTTTTTTTTTTTTTTTTTTTTTTTGACAGAGGTCAATAGAAAACAGAAAATTAATGGATTTACACTTATTTTAAGGTTAAATTATTTTTTCAGCGGATGATTTAGCAATTTAATATATTCCGGATCACATGTAACTACGTTCTCTTGTGAATTAAAGCAGTTCTTATTTTGACATCATCTATGTTGTAAAACATTTTTTGCAGCCTCACTATTTCAAAACAAATTTTAAAAAAAAAAGTTAGAGAACAAAATGATTCCTCTTACCTTGTATCCAACGCAGCATCAGCGAGATCATAGCTAATTGAAACGTGTAATCCAAAAGAGGTTGTAGACGGAAATTGTAAGATCATGAACACATTTTATTAATACTTAAAATCAGATTAAGATTCGTTAGTATTACAAATATATATCGAAAGGGGGTTTTATAACAGAGAGTATCAGATTAGTGTCCTTTCCTGAAGGAGTGAGAAAAGTCAGGCAGAAAGCGAGTTACACAATTAATTCCTTTGCAGGGTGTCTAGATTACATTGTTTATCGCGCTACTGGTGACAGTCCATCACTATTTGCATACCAACAGCCCTACTTGATGGGCATCATCGCCATTTGCAGCGATTCTGGAAGTTTCTCGAATACAGGCTTGTTTAGTGGTTTGGTGAGTAGATCCGCAATCATGTCGGAACTTCTGCAGCAGTCTAGGCTCAGGATCCCGTTTTGTTGAAGTTCACGCAAGTAGTGGTATTTGACATCTATATGTTTTGTTCTGGAGCTATTTTTTCCCATCTGTGAGTTCCCCATCTGTGAGCATGTGACTTGTTAGTTTCGTACATAGTAATCGGCAGATTTTGTTTCAGTCCTAGATCTTTAAGCAAATTTAACAGCCATTCTGCTTCTTGTGCTTTGTTAGCTGCTGCAATATTTTCTGCTTCAGTTGAAGACAGTGCGATGCAGTTTTGACTTGCTGCTCCATCAAATGCAGTTATTTCCTAGTTTGAGTATGCATCCGCTAATGGATTTTCTTGTTGTTCTGTTATTTGCCCAATCTGTAAAATGTAAATTGCGGCGGAAGGTTAAAAATTAGCTAGGTACCGCAATATCTTATTTACTCATTTTATATCTATCCTACTCAATCTTACAGAGGTGCTGGCCTAGCTTCTACCTGTATCTGTTTCAGTCAAGATCCTGTGTAGTCTGAAATGGTGGTCTGGAATTGGAAATAATGCAGTGTCAACCAAAAAAAAGTTGGGAACCTCCGCTTTAAAAGTTATGCCATACAATATTAGTCGCTTTAAAAGTTATGCCATACAATATACAATAATAGTCTGAATATGCAGTTAATATAAGTTCTTAAAGATCAACTTAAAGTGTTTAGTTGTATAGTATAAAGTATCGAATGACTTTCTTGACTGTATAACCAATCTACATTCCGAGATTTTTCGTTTCTTAATAGATTGACGGCGCATGCTATATCTGGTATGCTGATTGTTGCAATGTATAATAATGCCCCTACTGCTTGTCTATATTCTGTATTATCCTCTAGAAAATAATCTTCAGTTTCTAATTTGCAGTAGTATGTTTTCATTGGCGTATATGTTTGAAGTCCAAATTTTTTAACTATTTCTTCAATTTTATTCTTTCGGTTTATGGCAAAAGCTCCATCTTCAGATCTTTCGATGTTTATGCCTAGATAGTACGTGATTTCTCCTAGGTTTTTCATTTCGAATTTAGCGTTTAGTTGGTGGATTGTTTCCATTACATCGTCTTCTCTTTCACTTCCTATAAGCATATCATCTACATATAATATATATGTGAATTTCCATTGATGGTTTTGAAAAACAAGCATGGGTCTTCTTTTCTTTGTTTAAATGATATGTTTAGAAGTATTTTTCCAATTTTTATATTCCAAGCTCTAGCGGCTTGTTTTAAACCACATATAGGTTTCTTCAACTTGGAAACTTTATTTTCATTTCCAGCTTTGAGTATCCTTCAGGTTGAGTCATGTAAATTTCTTCTTTTAGTTCTCCGTGAAAGAAAGCTGTTTTGACATCGAAATGTCTAACAGACATGTTTTTATAAGAAGCTGCACGTAGGAAAGCTCGTAGAGTTATGTATTTTACTACAGGAGCAAAGGTTTCATCATAGTCTGATACAAACTTCTGGCTAACTCCTTTTGCGATTGATCTGGCTTTGTATCTTTCAGTTTTCCCTTCTGCATTAAGCTTGGTTTTGAAAGACCCTTTACACCCTATTGTTTTCTTCCTGTTGCTAAATCAATAATTTCCAAGTGTTGTTTTGTAGTGAATTAATTTATTCTCGAACAGCTGTCAGCAAAAAAAAAAAAAAAAAAAAAAAAAAAAAAAAAAAGGAGATTAAGTGTGTAGCTTGAAAACAAAGTGGAGTTCGCAACAACTGTTTTGGTGACGTCATGCCACACACCTCCTTTATCCATGCGACCAGTTTCGGCATAATCGACCACGCCAGTGGGGAGTACTGCGTCATTGAGTGAACACGCGTAACTGCATTCTCCCGGAAATATGTCTAATGTAAAAACCGAACAGCAAATCAAGTTTCTTGTGAAACTTAAGAAATCAGCCACGGAGGAAACATTGCAAATGTTAACTAGGCTTACGGAGATGAAACTTTGTCTCATGCACGTGTGTTTGAATGGCATAAGTGGTTTTCGGGAAGAAGGGACAGTGTGGAAGATGATGATCATGCTGGGCGCTCCCTTGGGCGTTTGTCATGATTGAATGTGTTTCCAGTGGTCAGACTGTTAATCAATACCACTAAATTGAAGTACTTCGTGAAAAAATTAGGAAACGAAAGGCCACAGTTGTAGAATGATGGATGGCTGTTGCACCAGGACAATGCACCCGCTCACCCGGCCCTATTTGTTAAGCAGTTTCTGACCAGCAAAAACATTACTGTGATGGATCACCTGATTTGGCTCCATGCGATTTTTTTTTATTTCCTAAAGTTAAATCTTACTTAAAGGGAACCCATTTTAACCATTTGAAAGAGTTCAGGCAAAACGGGAATCTCCTCAGGCTTCCAAAACTCGTTCAGAACTGTTCCAGCACCGAATGCAGACGTGTGTGAATGCTGAAGGGAACTACTTTGAAGGTGATATTGGCACGGAGAACTGATTCTTTAAGTACAGTGATTTATTGAACCAGTATCGTTTTTTTAGTGTGTGTGTGTTGTTGTTGTTGTCACATCTTGTAATTTTTTGTTGTAAATCTTTTTTTAGCCTCTCTATTTCACAACAAATTAATAAATGTAGAGAGCAAAATGATTTAATTCAAAAATGTAATCCAAAAGAGTTTGTAGACAGAAATTGTAAGATTCTAAAAACATTTTATTAATACATGAATATAAACTGGAGTGCAAAACTTAAGCAACAATGCAAAAATTTAGCAGAGAGCCTGAATTGCAGAAAGGAGGCGGGAGATCAGTACAATGAACACTAATCAGTAGAAACGCATGCGTATGCATACAGACGAAACGTCCAGGCTACGTGACATAACACAAAGCGTAGTCGCCGCGACTAACATAATAAACGAGACGTAGACGCATTCACATATTCGCTGCAAGTGCAGTGAATTAGTTCGTGAAATAATGGCTAAAAAATCACCTGGACGACTTCACACTGAGGAATGATCGAAAGCTGGAGATGGGCGTCTGTCACCAGTGTAGCGCTAGTCGGATCAAAAAAGTGTCGTTGCGCGCGCTTGGAAAGCGTACCAAACCACAGATCAGCTGCTAAAAGGGTTGGTGGTGGCCTCCCGAGACGACAACGCAGGAATGACCGTATAGCGTACTGCAGCGAAAGATGCCGACAGCATCAGCAAGCGCCATTTCTTAGCACTCTGCCAGCAACGGGCGACCAGTGTCGCGGTTTACTGTGGCCGACGCTTCACAAAGGGGCTATTCGCCCCCGTTGTAACCGCCCTCCCATTGAAAGTTTGCCACACCGACGCCACCGTTGCAGTGTGCAGAGAGCACAAAATCTGAACGCACTGACATGGTCGTGTCCTCGTGTACGATGAGTCGTTCAGTACAGAGCGATTCTCACGCGGTGTTGGGAGAGGTCGGGATACGGTTTTAATCCCAGTAACATCAGAAAGGCACGTACGTAGTCCTGGAGTTCTTGTCTGAGAGGTATTATGCTGAACTGCGAACGAGCTCCCGTTTCGACAGAGTTCTGTAACCGGAGCGGAACGTCGAGCACCATTGCGTGAGGGGAGGGATACCATATTAAGGAACCTATTGGAGTACGCCTTCCCCATGTGCGCTGTTCCAGGTTCATTGGCCCGCTTAATTTTATGATGACATGCACTGCCACATCGACTCTTGCTGTTGAGGAGCTACTGGAATGAGATATCACTAGAAATTGGCCACGTATCTCCCCCATATTTAATCCATCGGACACGTGTGTGGATTCTTTGGGAAAACGCATGTATCTTACACCCTGGAGAAACACCCAAAACTCAAACATATGCTGATTGAGGATGGGCACCAAAGAAATGTTGCACAGCTTGTTCCGATATGCGAACGGTACGAAGCACCATTTAGTGGGGGATGGCATATCCCATATAGACATCTGCTTGTTTTCTCCTCTTGATAGACTATCATGAGTCAGATACTATGCTTCATAAGCTTGTTTTTGTTGATTCATACTGTATGCATTGTATTCCTTTTCACTCCGATCTTCGTCGCCTTTACGTACATAATACTCCCTTCATTTCTGCATTTCATGTCTCTCAATTGATTTCTCGTGGAGTTATGGCAAAAAACCCTGCTGTTGTTTAAGTTTTGCACACCAGTGTAGATTAATATTCGTTAGTATTACAAATATATATCGAAAGATATATATTTGTAATACTAACGAATTACAATAGTATATCTATATTACAATAGAGATTATCGTATCACTGACTTTTCCTGAAGGAGTGAGAAAAGTAAGAGTCAGTTAGAAAGCTAGTTACACAATTAACTTTGCAGGGTGTGCAGATTACACTGTTTATCGCGCTACTGGCGACAGCACATCACTATTTGCATACTAACAATCTGTGATCACTGGTGTTATTCTAGACATTTGCTTCTCATTTATGTAATTAATGTAGAAATTTTGCTTTATTCTGATAGCTTGTGGTAGTTATTTTTCCCATCGTTATTTAATAGAAAGTTTTTCTTTAGACAAAACCCTGTTAATTTGTAAATCGGTGAATCCACCACTGGTTAATCGGATTTGATTTATAACGCTTTTCAGGGTGATATACATCAAGTCATAAGTCCTTGAGGAAATTTAACCGTGAGGGTCAGTCAGTCTTATGGTCTTCATAAGTCCTTGAGGAAATTTGTAGGAATGAAAAAGTTGTATATGGGAAGACCTGCCTTTTTGATGGCACAATATATAGATAGTTATGATTGACGATATAAGATAGATTGATGAACGTCTGAAATATGCGTTGCAGGCGTGAATTACCACTCGAATGAGGCAGTCCTCACTTTCCACTTAAATCAACTCTGGCGACGTACAGTGATATTTCTGGGCTTTGGTTCCTATGCAATTCTTAATCCTCATGATGTGCTCTACCTCTCCCAGAAGTTTGTCGCAACATTTACGGAACACCCTGTATATTGAAAGTCATCCTGCCTTATGTGAAAGTTATCCCGCCTTCCTGTTGTCACATTGCCTACTCTAGCAAGTCATTGCTGTGATACATAGTGTGTACAGTATATCAGTATTTCCGAGATAGGAACACATACAAAAACAAATTGCAGTCTTGTGACGATACTAAGAACCAATTTTCTTCCAATTGCCAACTAGATGTGCTAATCCCCTTATAGAATGAGAAAATGCACTGGGAATGCGATAATTCCATTAAACTGTATAATTCCACATGCATCGCTGAATGATTCTGGATTCCTAATCTATTAACTGTAGCTTTGGAAAAGTTGTACATATTCGCAACAATATTACTACATAAGAGGAATTCAATAAAATTAACAGCAAGATTGTTCAAAGCTTATGCTATCGATCAATTGGTTTACACTAAGGCTATAATAGATTGTCACAATTATGCTTTAAGATTTACTAATAAGTAGTTTTCGTTAATTTCTATCCCATGGCTCGTCATGATATTGGCTTCTCGCGTGTCTCGTCCTTGGCTCATCACGATGTTCGCTCAGAACACAGGATTAGGCAATTTGAATGTCAAACGGCGCAATTAAAAGAAGAGTTTAATCTTAATCGTGAATGTATTGAAACCTTTTCCTTGATTCTGTCAATTTCCCTGTGTAAATTGCTTGCAAAGCTCTGTAAGAGCTGCCGAGAGATTTTGCTACGCTCGGTAAGTATTTAAGAAAGTTAGCTATCCATACTGACCTCATTTGTTTGTTAATTGGAATTAGGATATTGTTTCAATCACATCGTAAACTTAATTTAAAGGCTAGCAGCCTGTGATTGTAAAATAGCAGCTTTCTGTACTTCTTAGAAATTACTCTGGACTGTCTCTCAACAAAATATGCATTATAAAGACAATTCTGGGCTATGCATCTGCAGCCTGGCCCTCAGCATCAAAGGCAGTCTTCCACAAGAAATACAATCAAGTGGATAGAAGAAGATTCTGAGAAGAACTGTAAATGCCCATTACCAGATCAGAAGAAACTGATTCACGATGACTTGAAAATCAACCTTATCATTTGACCACATTACTAAACTCAATAAACGTTTCTTCAAAATTGGACTTAGTTGCAACGTTGCAAATTTTTCAGGTGTTCTTAGTTACCAAACCATTCCAGAAGATAATTTTATCAGACCTTTTGCTACTCACATGCTTATAGACTATGTAACTGATGATCTAAATGTAACTATCTCGGGGCCCACCACCGGTTGGGGGTAAAATCACTGCAGTAGTGATAGTTCCGATCTGAGTTCGACTGTAGGCGAACGGGCTGGCTGCGTAGCGTTTTCGCGGTTTTCCACGAGCCAGTTTCCCATAGAGAGTCCTCCACGAAGGCATCCATCTCCTTAGACAGACAGCCCTAGTGTACTTTGCCATAATCAACTAAACCTTATATGTCTCGGCTTTGCATTTCCCTGCAGCCGATATTTGAAAATTTAAGCGCCATTAAATTATCTGAGCCATCTTGTAGTTTGGTACTTAATTATGTAATCTTAAAATACTGAGCAATATTTAAATTGATATGACTCTTTTTATTAAATTTACATTGCAGTAAGCAGTGGTTATGTGTAGCACGAGGGGTGGCGTTTTATGTTAAAAGTACAGTTCAATAAAAGATTATTTAAAAACCGTTGTAATTCTCGTTATGCAATTTTAGACATTGCGATAACTCAGTACCTCTTTAGTTAACGTCGCAGGATTAAAGTTCTAGTATTAGACTACCTATAACCTTATAAATTCTTAAACAGGAGTTTGGATACATTTTAGAAACATTTCTGATCCAGAACTTAATCTAGTCCTTGCTGATTTTCAAATGAAATTAACTAGCGTCTAGTGTACAGTCATTTATAATGTAATATAAATTAAATTTAGAATCATAAAAAATACTTACTACAGAATTTGTGAATTTTGATATTTGTTACAGGAACTCGATGCAGAAAAAGAGCTTCTGGGTCTTGATGAAGAACAACTGAATTATGTAAAGCGGCATATGACTGGTGAACAAAAGCCTGCAGTAGTGGAACCATTTCTGCGTACAGTAGTGCAAGTGGCGTATAATTATGTCAAAACAGCTTTCAGCTAGCTCTGTTTGAGCTCATAATTTTATGTGTTTGAAGTATAATAATTTAGATGCTTGTATATATAGGTCAGCTGGAAAGTTCTGCAAATTTTTTATAATAAATGCAAATGAAGCAATGCAGAAACATCACATTTCCATTGAATCACATAATCACCATTTTGTTCTATGACCTTTTGCTATCTCTGCGGCAGGGAAAAAATTCTTTTTTTTTTTTTAAACTACATTGTATTTATTCGTAAAAAGGTTAGCACTTTGCTATTTCACAATGTTCAAATAAATAAATAAAAATAAAAATAAAAAATAAACTTTTGACCTTTCAGAAAATTTAGAAGTGACCTGAAGAGATAGAAATCCAAGAGATCAATGTCTATTGAACATGGGGGGGGGGACACACAGCATCTCAGCTTTTAATCAGTAACCTTTTTCTGACATTCATCGGAATGCAGAGCTTAGTATTACCATGACGGAAGATAATACCTTGACAGTTGGTCAGCTCTCGGTACTTTATTTCAATTTCTACCTTTAAAACTCTCATTTGTGAATAACACTTTTGAATTTATTGTCTGATTTGGTGGCAACAATTTACAGTATAAAATTCCATTGTAATCCCATCATACATAAAGGGTTATTTTGGTTCATCTTATGATCTTTTCTTATGATCTAAAAAAATGTTTTTTTTAAATATGTTTTCCCGAGTGGCAACAACAGAATATTTTTGAACGGTAATGTTTGAAGGGTAGTTTTTTTGAAGTGCGCATAGTAATTTGTATTTTCAGTTATATCATCTCAGTGATATGTAAGTAATGCGATAATAAAGTTTTATTAACATAAATGAAGAATATTTCTTAAAGAAAAGTTAAAAGAAAGAAAGTTAAGTCCCATTTCAGAAATGGGATTAACTAGAATTATTACTTGGGATTTAACAACGTATTGCTTTAATGTACGTTATGCCTAAACTGAATGCGGAAGCTCGCAAAAACTGAAGGTAGAAAGGCACACTGCTCAAAAAAAAAAAAAAAAAAAAAAAAAAAAAAAAAAAAAAACTGAAATGTTTCAGATTTTAAATTACGTCCAAAGGGGCGTTTTTTAACATTTTGTGTGTTACCTTTCTTTATTAAATATCATGTTCCTCGCACTTAAACCATAAGATCCAGTGCAACAGCAATATCGCAAAATAGTTTTAAAACGAGCATATCTTTAGAATTTCCGATACAGAGACTCACGCGCTGGAGATAAAAATTTTTTTTCTGCACAACGTTGCCATTGCTCGCTTTGAAATCCTTGAGTTTGTTAATCAAAAATTCGTCAAAGTTTTAAAAATAGGAAATCGATCATAAAACAAATTTCAAATTTCAAATTTGGTCTTCCACATGCTCATATTCGTTGGAGGATTACGTTATTCAAAATTCGATGACTCTATGTACCGTTGTTTTATCACAATACGAGAAATATACATACATTTATGCAGATTTTTCATTATTTAATTTCTTCAAATATAATGCAGGACTCTAACATTTTGTGGCAACAGTTTGAAAAGTGAACCGACATTTATGAGTCCGACGCAAAAATGCCAAAACGAAACTAATAGTCCTTCGGGATTCAAATCCCTTTGGACTAAAAAAAATGGGACAGCTATATCCGTCTACTGGGCCGATTCACAAATTCAAATTGCGTTCTCATGTCTCGAAAGCTCGACTTAATATATATTAGATTTATACATGCACATTCAACATAGGTATTTTGACACAAAATTGGACTTTTTCTGAAATAACATATCAATGTTTTCCATATTTCAATTCTACGACTCAAATTATGTCAAGTTTTGTTCGCACGAATATTTTTTTAAAAATTAGCTCTTAAATTTTAGCTCCTCCCTTTAAATTGAATTTGGTATATGTTTATTAATATATCATTTTTTTATTAAACTTATTTGATTCTTTCTTTCACATTTCGAATTTAGGTTCATTCCAAATAAATTTCGCCCATTTTTTATAATTTATTTTTAAAATTTGTATTCTAGAACAAGTAAATTTTTCGAATTAAATTGGGAATTATAACCTTAACCTTTTGCCATCATCTTAAAGTAGGTATTTTTACGCATATATGCAAAACTTAGATTTTTTTTAATTCAAATTTTCTAAGATATACACTAATTTACATAATTTCGCTTTTGAAATTTGGCACTTTTTTTGATAAAACCGACATGTGGTCTATGTTTTTGTCCAGGAATTGCCACAGCTATTTTTAACAATAAATTTTAGTAAAATTAATTATATGACATTTTTCCCTCAATGAGCGTAATAAATATTTATTAATACTATATGAAAGCTATTTTTTAATTATAGATATTATTCAAATTTTTAACTATTTTTTTTTTATTTCTCTCTCTTTTTTTTTTTTTTTTTTTTTGTAAGAAAAATTTTTACCTTTCATCAACGTTTTATCGTCTGCTACTTTACTTCGTTTAAATCGAATTGTCTAAAACTGAGAATTTTCGTTTGATGTTTATTTGAATTTTATGACATTAACTGCATAATTTATTTCTAAACAACTGTTGCTTTTGAAGTGGCTGAAAGAGCGGCTGATACTATCATCCATATTTTAAAGCACATATATTTTTATAGAAACATATTTAGAATAATCATTTTTATAAAAGTCAAATTATGATATAAACATACAACCCTCTCGAGACTGAATTATGGAAGTTCAATGGTTATGTAGAAATAATCTGCAGCTACTTAATGGCTGGATAAGTCAGCAGATTTGTGGACAAGAATAATTTATAAACGACCACCACATTCTGGATTCAATAAACAACGAGATACGATGTTTATTAATGAATTAAGAAGTTTTAAACATAAAAAATCAACTCATTTTTTTCCTAAAATGTATTTTTGTGCAGACGTATTTTCATTATATCCTTAAAAATTCTAATTTAGAATGTAATTGTCAAGAACTGAATCCTAATCATCAGTAATATAATAAGTAATTATTACGGTTATTAATAAATCCTTCTTATAAAGTAATTGCAAATATTTCAAAACTTTGTTGAATGCAACTTTTCTGATGCAAATATTTTTAATTTTATATTAATCAAGATTGCACACGATATTATTTATTTGCACTTCATTCTTACCGTCAGTTTCTAGTAGAATTTACAAATCATTATATTTAATTAAGGATTGGATTGGATTATTTAATTATGGCAAAGCGCCGAGGGCTATCTGCCTAAGGGAGGGATGCCTTCGTGGAGGACTTTCTAAGGGAAACTGGCTCGTATACCGTTACACATGGGGAAAACACGAAAGCCCGTTCGCGGGATTCGAACCTCGGACTGAACTACCAGGTTCAGCGTCTTTAACCGCTCGCCGTTGGGGGCATTTATTAAGGAATGACCATCTAAGTTTAGAAACAGCGTAAACAGCGTATTGGTGCCATAATAGCAATTCAATTATTGGCGCCATATCTTTCATGTTTCTTCGATTGGCAAGCTACGTGATTTTTAATGAGTGCTTCGGGTTTTACTAGTTAACTTCACATGGAAATCGCGCTTAAACTAGGTTAGTTGGTTTATTTGAACATAGAAAGAACACGGGAGCTATTTGGTTAAGATGCTTTCATAGAGAACCTTTGTAAAGAGAACCTAGAAAACTACGAAAACCAACCATGCAGCCTGGGTTAGACTTCGCAACAAACAATTAGTATTTAACAATCTTCAAATGCTAGGCAACTGGTGAGGCTCCAATTAAATCTCCAATTTAATATTTTATTTGTAAATATTTAAAATATTGTTTGTATTCTTAGACACAAAAAGCAGAATTTAAGTTTTGTTAACTCGTTAGTAAACTACCAAGCCGTAGTGCAAATGAATATTCAATTTCTTTTGCAATAATTGTATTCACTTAATATTCTTGGAATATGAGCTAAAGAAGGAATGTTCTCGGAAGATTAAAGAAGTGTTTAAATCCAGTGATATTAGGTTTGTCTTACAAGCTCAGGATCAAAACGATTCTGCAATTGCCCGAGTAGTTGACTTGTAAATGGCTGTGAATTAAGCAGATGACTTTTAATCTTACGTTATTCAGTCCAGAAAACGTATTCCAAATGTTTTGTATTGCATGACAATGCATCTTTTCATTATTCAATAACAATCGGAGAACCGCTTTGTGTTCCGAAAATAAGTATGTGTACTCAATCGTCCTGCATGTTCTTCAAATTTGTCTTCTTGTGATTTTTTTTCTTTCCAAAAACTAAAGTTGCCTCTCAAAGGAAAGTTTTTTGACATTGAAGAGACAAAAGGAATATGACATCTACTTTTAGAGGCATGTCAAAACAGATCTCTACAAGCCTTCTCTTCCATTACATGTTGTGCATTCAGACAAAAAGTTTCATCAGCGTAAATTCTATAATCTATTTTTTATTACACTCTGATTACTTTATTAACATACAGTGAATATATACTAAATCCTTTTACTTTAGCTTAAGTAATTCGGAATTTTTTGACGGAATTGTTGTCGGAACTAGGACTTAGAAGATAAGTCAAATTAAATATTTCGATAACCCAATAAATTCAAGTCGAAATTTCAATATTTTATTTTTCGGAGGGAGGGGAAATTTTTCAGTTTTGGTCCATTATCTAAGTATATTTGCTTCGATTCTTTTATTTTTTCCATAAAAGCGAAAATTTTACGCATGGTATACATATAACGCATAGCTTCAAATTAAAATTTCAATAATGGTTATAATTAAGTTAAACTTTTCCACGGTCATAAAAGGAAAACTACTGGATCAAATGTTATCAAACTTGGAATCCGTGTAAAGGAGGTCATGGGAATTTATTTTCCACGAAAAAAAGAAGTTCGAAACCTCACCACCAGGGGAAATGGCGCTGTATGCAATATTGTTAAACAAATATGGGTCGGAATCTAACTTAACAACCTTTTGTTAAAAAACGGGTTTAATATGTTGTATACCCTTAAGAAACTTTGAAGTAGCAAATTATACCATTTAAAGACGTTAAATTCGATAAATGTCGATGCGCCATCCCTGTAAGTGAGAATTTCGTCCGTGGAAAACCACGAATTAGCGATTAGAAAATGTGAGATCGCAAATCACTCGCACAAGTGCGTACAATCTGGAAATCGTTTTCTTACAGATCGCTAATTTGTAATTTTTTAAGCCTGAATTCGGCACTAAAACATGAAGATACTGATTCAAAACGCTTTTAAATTGATTTGGGCCAAAGAAATCTCCTTCATGTTATCTATCTAGTTCCATTGCATTCTCCCTACTGCATTTCGATTGCATAACAGTCATTTCCACAACCGTTTACTGTTGAATGACAGCTAGTTTTATAACTGAACCATTTTTTTTCTGAAGAGCAGTCGACAGCTGGACCACTGCGATTGCAAGCTCACTTAGAGTCAATATTAAAATGTTTCGTGATACATGAACTGCAGTAACGTGGCATTTTAGATACTACGATTTTTATGCAGGGCTGGGCCCCACCTCAATAGTGTCGCATAGTTACTTAGGCAACATTTCACGAATGAACGTCTTATAAGCCAACACTTCCCCTCTTCCCACAGACCTCAACCTCTGTGACTTTTTGTCTATGGGTTATCTCAAAAGCACTGTTTATGGTGATAATCTAAACAATTTGGCAGAAATGAAAAATGTGATACAAACTGATAACATTCCTCCTGATATGCTATGTGTAACGTGTATACGAGCCAGTTTCCCTTAAAAGTCCTCCACGAAGGCATCCCTCCCTTAAGGCAGATAGCCCTCGAGTGCTTTGCCGTAATCTAATAACCAAACCAAAACCAAACC